AAATAAATGAATAAAGCAACAGTTATGCAGATACTGTGTTCGATGAAGAAGAGACTACAGAGACCATGGAAACACCAGATTTAGAAAGTGAAAACAATATTATAAATAACAATATTAAGTTATTGAATGAGAATAGCAAGGCAGAATAATAAGTGCATGTTTAGAAGATTCGAGTAATGACAATATTGATGATTTTGGAAACACATCTACAAGTTTCTCGTGTAATTTGATGAAAGATTCAAGCGAAAAAAGATAAAAGCGAATATAAATTCCAACTCCACGCATTTAGATGTCGTTTCGTTGTACTTTTCAGAAGAGTTAATTTCGCATGTAATGGAAAAAACAAATATTTATGCAAAATATGTTGTTAAAAAGAAGCAATCTAAATACAATTTCACCATCTGCAAAAATTTAGGAATACATTTCATTGTCTGACTATGTTTATTGCGCAAAAGAAAAACCTCTCTTTGAAACAATATTAGTCAACGGATAAAATATTATCATTGGATAATCTTTCTAAAGTCATGTCAAGGGATAGAAATACTTAATAACATTCACTTCAATGATATTAATACACGAGACTCTAATGACCCGTTAATAAAATTACAGCCTGTAATCGATGTACTTAAAGCAAATTTTGTTAGATCTATTGATGAAAGTCTGTTGTTATACAAAAGTGTTAGTTCAAAGAGTACATTCCTTCTAAAAGGAACCAATTTGACATAAAATCATTTAACATTTGTGATTCTGTCACGTTGACGAAGATAGGTTTAGTAAAAAACGAGAACAAACGGATAAATTTCACGTGTAATCACTTCATAATTCATTTCAACAAACTGATACGTTTTATGAAGAAAAGAAGAAAAGAAAAAATGATTAGACTTTAAAAGTCTACTTTAATAAAACTTTATTAAAACGATTCAAGGTAATAAAGAAACAAGTTCGAGTTATAATCGAAGACTGAGAGTTTATTGTGCGTTTAGGTTCTTTTAATATTGGGTGTGCACCGAGTGGGGGCCGTATGTACGGACCTGGGTCGCTGAAACTGTTGACTGCTAATTTTGAGAACGAGGTGATATAAAATTAAGGCATCTTATCGATGGGAGAAAATTTTTTAAACTGCTGACTGCTGACAATTGCAAGACCGGAGATATACTAGATTTTATCATCTATACTGGAAAAGATACAAATATTGAAACACATACTTCGTCGCTTCGTAAATCTGAAAATATAGTTGTAACACTTTTGCGATCGTATCTTGGAAAAGGCTATACTTTAATTACTAATAATTGGCACACAAATCCATATTTGTATACGTTACTCCATAAAACTAGTGGTACGAGGCTGTAAGAAAGAACAGAATTGGGATACCGCAAATGAAAAAAAATCAAGTATGGAAAATTTGAATATGAATCTGCTAATAATTAATATTGGTAATGCGATGGTTCGATAAAAAAGAGAGGTGTGGATGTTATCGGCAGCCCAGACTGCTGAAGTGACTGAAAGTCGACGAATAGATTATTGCACGGGATTACGTAAAAAAAAGACAACTTGTTGATTACAATTATAATATAGGTGCTATCGACAAAGTAGATGTGATTAAGTTCAATAAAGTGTCTAAGAAAATCAATAAGGTGGCACAAAAATTATTTTTTTCATCTACTAGATCTTTTAATATATAACGCTCACATCATTTATAAACAAATCACTGATAAAAAAAAAAAGAAAAGTTTCATCTTCTATGTGTAAAAGAAATCATACGAAAACACCCACAAAATGCAGTAAATCAGTTATGACTAAAGATATTGATAATTTTTCTTATATGATAATTTTGATAATTCTAATATATATAATTCTAATATTGATAATTTTTCTACATATGTCGCGAATTCGGCATCTTAAAGTGGCTAATGATCTTATCGAAATGATTAAGGATGAAACCGTCAATGATAGTGACATTATCGATAACTTAACAGATTTTGAAGACGAACAAGAAGAACTGGATTCTATGACAGCGGATAAAATATATGCAGGAATCCAGCTTTGCCACAAATTGGAAAAGCATTTTCTTAAAATTGATAACATTTCCGAAAGGCGAAATTCCAAAAAGAGCTTCGATCATATATGTCTGGCTT